AATAAATGTGTGAAAAATTAAAAGCACATTTTATTATTAAAATAAATTATTTGATATCAAAAATTTTATTTTTTTAAAAAGAAAAAGTACTTGAACATTTTTACTATTTTTGAATGAAATAAGTATTTTAAATTTATACTGACTCACATGCTTCTAATTTCAAAACTAAATTAAATGTTTTGAAGGCACACGAAACCTCATAATTTTGAAGATTTTTTTGAAATGAAATTTCTCAGTAAATTTTATAAATTGCTTGACTTGATGATTAAATATGTAACAAAAAGTTTCATTCGTAAATTTAACGAAATTTTATAAAAGCATTATGTAACAATAAGTGAATATCGCGTGTCTAGTATCAGCAGAAAATCATCAAATTTTATCTAAAGGCAAATTTAATTTCAAATTTTATCAGTAAGAATATAAATCAAGCCAAGAATCACTTTTAGGTTTATATTTGTGAGAGTTTCAAAAAAGTAAAAAGTAAATCACTTTTGATCATTGTTTCGCAAAACTTTGCTTTTCAATAATAGTAAAATTTTTTATAATAATTAGTTCATCAAATAAATCTTTACCACTCTCTAAAAATAAGGATATAAATTGAATGCCAAATTAAGACGTAAAGAGTAAAATAAAATACAAAAATATTACATTAAGAAAATCTAACGTTTGTAGAAATCAACTCAAAATTACTGATACGAGCAAGATAATAAATTTTTGATAATAATTACTTTACATTTTAGACAAAAATAATATATATATATTTTAAATTAGATAATTTTTAATGTTTTTTTACCCTCTTAATTTTGAAATGAATTGCTTTTATACTAAGTTAAATTAAATTAAATGCGTTTATTTGTTCCACTTATTTGTTCTTATTCAGATTCAAGCTTTTCATTTGATTATTTTCGTTAATAACGGTTGTTCGATATGAATTTTAATCTGAGAATAAATAAAAAAAGTAAATATTAATGAATTAAAAATATAACGAATAAATTAAAGAAAAGAGACAACGTATTCATTCTTTTATTCCGAACAAGAGAATAACAATTTAGAGTAACCCAAATCGAGAGGAAAAATAAGTATTTTGACTGAATATAGCAAGGATCCGATTTTTCACTCTCGGCAAAGAATAGAGAACAAAGTGAATATGGTTTATGAGCTTAAAGAAGAAACCGGAAGAATTCTTTATTGTTCTCAATTCTAAATTTCCTTTCAGTTCTATGAATCGAGAAAGCAATTTAATAGAATACCTTTGTCTTTATTTTAGATAAAATAGAACATTTCTTTTATGTTCTTTTGACGGCAAAGTTTACGTAAAGATTTAGAAGAAAACTGAAAAATATAAACTAATTTTTATTTTTATGTATACTTTATAGGTAGCTTTAAAGAAGAACAACACAGAGTAGATGCCTGTAAAAAAATAGTGATTTTTTAACGAATTTTGCAATGATTGAGATTAACTTAACCTAATAGTTTTTTTTTATACTGAACACATTTTAATCTTCATTTCACCATGATGCAAATAGAAATATAGTCAAACCCCGCTATAGTGAATATGGTTTATAATGAACTAAATGTTCGGATATAGTGAACGAAATGTTCGCTCCCGTGCCTAGCTATACACATATAATATTATTTTTTGTGGATATAGTGAATTAAAAGTAGAGAGGAAAGTGGATATTATAAGCTTTTTTCTGTCTTCGACTGATTTTTTTCCTTCATTTTTTTTGTTGGTAATTTTGAAATTTCAACATAAAATACACATACCGATTTTATAATCATTTATTGAGTAGAATGTAGCCATAAGAATTTTTTCTTGTTTGCTTCTTCTATCTCTGTTTCCCATCCTTAAATAAAGGCCATTCCTAAATTTTTTGTACGCAAGCCGAAGAGTAATAAAAAATAAAAGTTCATACATTTTCTATTACTACATATTGTTTTTTAATAATTTTTGTATTTTTTTGTTGGTCATTTATTTAAATAACGTGTAATAAAAGGGATCAGTTTGGAAAAATTAGTTAAAATTGTTCGCAGTATGGATATAGTGAACTCCCGGTTATAGCGAACTGCAATTTCGGTCCCTTGAAGGTTCACTATAGCGGGGTTTGACTGTATTTTAAAAAAATAGCTATTAATTAATACAATATGTTGTTTATTTTGTATGTATATCAAGTTATCGATAATTAGGAAAATAAATTGAGAAAAAAAATCATCCAAATTTGAGTCCGGTGTGACGTTGTATGTAATAATTTTATTTTTTTTTTTTTTTTTGAAAAAAAAAAAAATCTTTTATTTTCTTCAGAAAATGACAGTGTTTTTAAAATTCAAAAATTCACAAATGGAAGTGAAAATCCAAAAAAATAAAATAAGTTAAGTTACATCTTAGAGTATGACTCAAAACCAGTCGACCCAATAGAATAATCTTTACTTTCAGCGGAAACTATATTTAGTGAGACAATTGTGTCAAAATTTGAAGTAAATCTGTTGCAAATTGTACTAGTTAAGAGATACAGCTAGTAGATAAACTCTGATTCGAGACATTTGCGTTTAAAGTTTTGTGAACAATAAACCTTATAAATATATAAAACTTTCCAACTAACTACAATGTCTCAATGCCAGGGCCATAAGATGCATTTTAAAAGTCTCGAGTGCCAGTCTAGACTTTTTTTTCTTTTCGATCTACTTCGAAGACGCATATGTTTTCAGTGTAGCAACCAAAATCTTGCGGTCATCTTCATTTTGAACATACTCTTTGTCTTTTGGGTCTGCATTTGTTTCAATTGTTCCGTAATTGTCCATAACCAGTTTCAAACTTCATTAAAAATTATTGCAGCTAAATAAGTTGCAATTTCAACTAGTTACATTGAAAGTAGCATAAATTATTTTTCTCACATAATTTAAACAATTTATTAACATAATCACATAATTTAAACAATTAATTTAAGTAGTTAAAATAATAGTATTATTAATCAACTGAGCTCAATAAGTTCAAATGATCAAACATGTCACTGCAACAAATGCTGCATTAAAACATTAGAAATCTAATAAAATATTATGTAAAATAACATAATGCTTGAAAGCAATACCAAAAATTATGATATGAAAATATTGATGCAATATCAATATGGGGCACTCAAATATTATAAAGAGCATTTTTCAATTAGAGCAATTTTGTACCGATTCTTCCAATTTCTTCTTTAAGCCTCCAAGCAGAGATATCTACTTTGTTCTGTATAAACAAAAAAATTAGTTGATTTCTATATTCAGTAAAAATTACCGTAATCTGCGTTTTGGTACTAGCTCGATTTGAGTTACACATATTATGCCGGATGTTCACTATACAAATGTTTTGAAATAATTGAGCTAGCGCAATGTTAACGTGCGGGATGTTGTCTCAAAGTGCTGAATCACTCTATTAAAAAATAGTAATTTTATCAAATTACTCTTAATGATACATAACTTTCACTAATATAGAGTCGTGGTGGCTCAGGAGATAGAGCACTTGCCTCCCAAAGAGGTGACCCGGACTCGAATCAGCCCCCGGCTCATACTAACCGCAGTGTTGACGCAAAATACCCTCAGTGGTTGGCGGATCATAAGGTAGGATCTTTGACCCTTGCCTTCAGGATTACTGTGGGAGGTTTTCCTCTCCGTGTAACGCAAATGCGTTAGTTCCATGAAAAAACATTTTAAGTTCACAAATTTCCCCCGATATTTGATCCAGGAGTTCCCTTATCCTCTGGATTGGGTTAAAAATTGCAAGGTTACAGAGTTGAACATTGATAGCCGTTAACTCAAATTTAGGTCGACTGTTCAACGACGGTTATAAAAAATATGAGTTTTATGCAGTGCCAATAAAAATACTGATCTATATTTTTCTATACCTCGTTGTCTTGATATCAAACGTCATAGTGATGTCATAATATCAAATAGTTCGAGTTGGCTGGTCTTTATAATCAAATTAATCACCTAACGTGCAATCTTAAAGAAGAGTCACGGGGAAGTAATAAAGTTGAGAAGAAAAGACGTTTAGATTAGCAGTTTCTTGAAATACTGTTTTTTATTTTATTTTTTTGGTAAATTCTTTGCTTCCGTTTCCAATTTTTAATTTAAAATTCATTTTGCAATCGGATTCTAGCCATTGAAGTGTGATTTATGCTTTAAGCATTTTTGTGTTTCTATGGAAAAGTCCACAAGGTATTATTACTTTACATGCAAGGGTCTGTTTAGAAGAAATTTGGGTCCGTTAACACAAAATATCTTTTCATAAAAACGAGCCCTTCACAAAATGATTTTTCTTTTAATCAGACCCTTCACAAATATGTTTATCTTCATTATTGTTTTATTAATCGAATAAACTCTTTCCAGGGCAGAAAACAAGAAAGATGGATGTAAACGAATTAAGTTTTGTCTTCGACAGACGCTTCTTCTAATTCGTACGAAATTAATATTCTGCGTTCAGCAGTATAGGCTAAATACCAAATATTTGTATGTTGCATCTCTAATTTAGAATGAAAACTTAATTTTTTAAATTAAAATTTTACAGTGCCGAGCATAATTTTGTGTTGATTTACAATTTAAAAACTCCTTGAAAAAGTTTTTTGCAATTACCGGACCCTATTTGCACGAATTCAAAAAAGCGGACACTGGTTGAAAGAAAGTAAGTAATTTTTTCAGAATTTCACGAAAACCGGGCCTTTCACAAAATGTCTGGACAGACCCCTGACATGAAATTGAAGAAAAAAATCTGTACTAGTAAAGTTAAAGCCTAAGTCAATGTCCGTTTTACGAATTTTGATGTCCACTTCAAGGTATCTGAAGTTACTTAATTTTCAATAAATTTATCGATTATTCACCAATGTAATCAATACGATATATCAAGTGAAGGGAAGTCTAGTCACTATTTAGCAAACATTCTTCAATTGATGGATAGAGAATCAATTAATCAAGTTGAAACCTATCTATCGCTTTTTGAACTTTTTTCTTCTTATTGTTTTCAGCTTGCTTCGACGTCAAGACAGTCTTCGCCGTACAAGCTCTGGATCAGGTGAGCAGGATCAATCAGATCCTCAATCGGAAAGTTCCACAGAGCAAGGACCTGTTATTGAAACTGTTAAAATAACTGTTGTCTAATTGTTTTTGTTTTTTTTAACCTCTTGCTCATAAATTAATTACGCATTTTCTAAAGAGGAAAAATATATTCAACACAGGTATCCATCAAAAGTTCAAATTTGTAAAATTTTTATGACGTTATAGATGACTCCTTTTAAATTAGGAATATGTATTGTTACTGATTGTAGCGATATCTTTTGTAAATAAATGGGAATTTCGAACTTGTTGCTGTATTTATTTATTTATTATTAAACATTTTATTAAGCGTATTACTTTTCTGCTGAAATTTCAGATTTTCTAGTCATATTTGTTATAGAAATCTAGAGTTTACCTTTTGTCTAAGTAGATCAGTGTTTCCCAAAGTGTGATACGCGTAACCCCAGGGGTACGGGAACAGTTTAGCGGGGGTACACGTTCTTATGCGACTTGAAACAAACGAAAATGTCAAAAACTTTTATTTAAAAACAAATTTAGCCATGAAAATTTACGATTATGTATTTTTCTATAAGTTATTTCTTGCAGAGTTGACAGTTAATAATTAGTGGTGTCAACAGCCAGTTGTGATTTTTAACTTTTGTGCAATTTTTTTATTGTAAAGGTTTGTAATAAATTCTACTTATTTTGATTATTTATATAAAATATAATTTTTATTCCTAACATAGAATATGGTTGTTATCTACAAAACTTTGTACCAAAAAAGAAAAAGAAACATATTTTAAAAAAATACATTCATTTTTTTTAGTGGTACACAGCGTTACGAAAAATGTAGAAAGGGTACACAAAAGTCATAAGTTTGGGAAACACTGAAGTAGATGTTTAATATTTTGGAACCAAAATTCGTTTTTGGTTAGAAATAGAAGCGATGATTGATTAAGGCCGTATAAAAACATTGTATAAGAGGCTCATAAATTTTTTTAAAAAATTATATTGTATACAACCTGAAACTATTCCTCTTTCATTTTTAAATCCTTTTCTATCAATAAATACAGTTCGAGCCCACCAGGGGGAGCACTTTAATTTTGGCCGGGAAACCCTGATTGGTAGGGCATTGAACCCATGTCCAAGAGGTCGTAGGTTCGATCCCCACGGGTCGAAGACAAGCGACAGACAGTAAGTAAATGGTGACTGATGCATGTTAAATCTGTCGAGTCACAAAGTCCTCCATGTCTCCATAACAAACCCTACCTCTGGGGGTATTGATCCAGGAGTTTCCTTGTTTTCTGAATAGGTTCAAAAATACAAAGCTACGGAGTTGAATCTTAGTAAACGTAAACCCAAAATTGGGTCGGCTGATCAACGACAGTTATAAAATAAAATAAATCAAAACCATCAGTTTTAACAAAATAAAATATTATGAATTATTAATTATATAAAAGGAATAATTTTTGACTCAAGTATTATTTGTATGACAATTGTATTCACATTACAGTCTTAAAACAAATCTGAACCATATCATATCTGGCGTGAACGAAATATTGCAGTTGCGAAAATGCGTTGTCCACATGCGTTGATTCTGTGTAAGATTTGATTGTTTCAACTGTGTTGCACCGAACTTCAAATTGTGAACGTTTGAGATGCTAAGTGAAAGTGCGCAATCTCTTTCTTATTTACTTGAGCCATTTAATTAAAATTATAATTTTCCTGCTTGAAATTTACTCTCGTGAGAGCTAGTTCACGTGTTCATTTGAAAACACTCTATTCAGGTACATTTCATACACATGAAATTTATTTTGTAAAAATTTCTACCATTGAGATCCAATATTTATCATTGTCAGATTCTGGTAACGAGAATTGATTTTCGATTTTGATAACAATTTTACATAATTGCGATTTTTCCAAAATACATTAAGTGAGTCATATTATGAAAAAAAAAAACTGTTAAATTCCCTACCAGTCAACTCTTCTTTTTTTTTCTTTCGATTCACATTCGATTCAAAAAATTTTCTCTATACAGCTAGGATAAACTTTATGCCATATAGCCGACTTGTCACTCAAGTTGATGGAGTGAATAATGCCTCTCACACTGAGTGAACTGCAAGGTATTTTCTGTGGCATTGACATTTTAACACACAGCTCATAATCTACTCACATTACCAAAAATTGTTGAAAATAAAATTCCCTCCACTAATCACTTTGTTTTAAATAAATTGTTGTAAGATTAAAAGTTATGCAGCCAACAACTCATCAAACAAAACGTTCGTGAAATAATAATTAAACATGTAAATTTTTAATAAGAAAATGTTATTAGATAGACTTATAATTAGAATGTCATTATATGTCAACATATCTCTTTATGTGAACTTAACATTTCAAATGTTAAAGGTACCGAAACTTGTATTAGAAATTAATTATTTCACTTAAACATGAAAAAGTTTAATATTTCATGCGTCTTTATTTCCAGAAGAGATTCATCGAGTCTAGAAACAGTTCTGTTAATTAACTCCCTGTCTCTTTTAAGCGACAATATTTCGTATTTACCAAAGCTGACAGTACATCATAATATAATAAATTGATCATCTCTTATTTACTTCATTATAATGAAGTTCAAAACCAGAAATAAGAAAAAAAATCATTAAATTAATAAACATCTAGAAACTAAAGTTAATTTGAAAATATTTCTTCGATAATATTCGAAAATAAATGCATGAATAGCGTAAAATCATTATATTAAATATTTTTTTTAATATTTTTTGTTTTTCTTTCATTATAGAATAAAACCTTGTTGGTAGATATTTTAATAAGTAGTCACACTAAAGTTAAAATACTATATGTCCCGTTTATGTATCTGCCGCTTATTTCAGATGATTCTGTGTACAGTGTCATGTCATGTTAATGTCATATACAGTATAACACGTGTTAATGTCACACATGTTAATGCCACAGTGTCATGACATGTTAATGCCATACCCTGTGTCATGTCATGTTGATGCTATACACAGTGTCACGCATGTTAATGCCATACACAGTGTCATGTCATGCTAATGCATAGTGTTAAATGCATAAAATAATTCTTACCTTTTAATTACATTTACATTCGCAAAACTATAATTAGTTTTAGGATCAATTGAGCAATACAGATAAGTAATTTGTAACTCAGAGCAGGCTAACCCATGGCCTAACATACTAAGCGGAAATCAAATTTTATCAATCTTCTCTTCTTTTACTACTGCCTCATTAGCAGAATACTATATTACCCGTACATGATTATTGTCACTCGGTACATGAGATTTGTGCCATTCGGTTTAAACAATTTGGTTCGCCTCATTTTTGAAGAAAACTCTAATAATGGATTTCCCCTTTTTTCAGAAGCGTCGGTTAATGCGCAATTTTGATTAGGACTTTTTATAGCGAAAATTTTGCGAGCAAAGGCATCTGACTTTCCTCTAAGAATGTCCGTTAAAATATTAATTGTGTAAATTTTAAATATGTTTTATTAAATATATTGCTTTTTGAAAATATAACTAACATGCAATCACCAATATTGATAGTAGATGTTAAGCAAATCTTCATGCTGTTATCAACAAAGATGAAAACCTTAAATACAAATATTTATTTATTTTACATGGATATATTTTTCAAAAGCACAAAATGTACATATAAATTAAACTATTAGTAATAAAATTGAAAATAATAAAAAAATACTTAAAAAAAAATAATATTGAAAAAAAGTCAATAACTTAACAATATGTCTTAAGAACTAGACCATATTATACAAAAAATTGATTTTTTTATAACACTTCTGACTTCTATCATAAATTTTATTTTAAAATTCATTTAATAAACTAAAATTAATATGTTTTTATAATTTATTAAATAGAACTATTAAGAAAAGAATGTTTAAAATTAAAATATCTCGAAAATTTAAAATGACTTTTACAATATATCTGCAATGTCATATAATTTAAAAAACGTGTCTTAAAAACTAATCTACAATGAAAGATTAATCTACCATATGTTTAAAATGCAATATGATATCTCTCCCATTTTTCTGAAAATTGAACAAACAGATTTTACGTTATAAGGAATAAGTTATACTTTGTAATGAAATGAAAGGAGATTTATTTATTTTATTTCGAAGGAAAAAAATTCAACGGTAAGATAAATATTAAATTTACTATTTTTAAGGAAAAATAACAAAAGATTGAATTTAAGTTGAGAAAAAAAAAACGCGAGTAAATATTAGACAGCTCTCCAATTCAAATATACCATTCCTTAGTCTGAAATGTAAACGAATAAAATAAAATAAAAATGTAATAACTTCAAAATGTAAAGATTTAAAAGATATTGGAAACAAGAAGAAACAATAAATTTAATAAAAAAATAAATTTAAAAAAAAATTAATTTAATAAAAATAAATAAAAGCTAGAAAAATAAAATTAACAAGGTCCTTACTTTCTTTGTTGAAATAAAACATGTTTTAAAATTCTAATACACATAAAAAAAATGTTTTTTTTTTTTATAATTTAATATAAGGAATGATAGTGCATAGGGAATATTCGTAAAAATCGCAATTGAAATAAAAAAAATTAAAAGTATTGCAAATCAGCTTCAAATACGTATCTATAAATCAAAATCACTAATTAAAAGTTTGGTTAGATAAAATGTATACTAAATAAAATGTTATTTATAAGTTACATGTTGTACTGTACAACATGCGTAATAATACATGATAAGCTAAGAAAGGCATTTGTACACTGAAATCGCGCTGAGTATTTTTTAATTTGTCTATTTTACATTACAAACAATTTGCCATTAAAGATTATCTTCTTAGTATAAAAATGACAGCCAAATTTTACGGCCCATAAAAGTGTAATTGTTGGCTTTCATATGCCCTTTACGAATTTAGATTTATTTCAAATGTGCTTTACAAGTTTAGATTATTCCAAATATACTTTACAATTCTGCTGATTTTAGAGCACGTGTATTTTGCACTGACGATTTTTAAACTGCTAAGAATAAGACAATATTAACGCTGTTCTTAGAGGACCCTGTCTTCATATGAAATAACTCAGTTTAGCAAAAAATGAGTGAGCTAAATTATAGAAATTAATGAGTTCGTAACAGTTATTTATTACTGTTCTTTGTTATGAAAATATAACGTAAAATGCTCATAAAAAAATTAGTTGCAATTTTGTGAAAATAGAAAACGGTTGTAATCCAATTTTCAAAAGTTACACCCTTGCTGCAATGTTTGAACTCGTAAAATTATTCGACAATTTAGAATT